AGTAAGGTTCTTCTTGGAGGCAACTCCAGTGATTAAACAGTCTTAGGAATGCTTACTCACCTATCTGCAGAAAAAGAGCATCCAACTATGTTAGTAAGTCACAAAAAGGGTCTGAACTTTGGTAGGGAAAAGGAAGGAGCTGTTAAATCTTTATCCCAGATGTATTGTTTGAGTAAAATTACATGTTGATGAGAGATTTGGATGTTGGGTGTTTTCAGTACTGATTTAACTGTCAAATTATGAGATTTAAAATATTGAATGTTGACTGCAACTTGTCAACACTTTAATCTTGCATGAGGAATCCAAATTTCAACAGTGCTAATGACACACCATCGTTTGAGGTGTTGCACTTTGGAGGAAAGTCCCAAAACAGCTCAAACGCACTGTCTTAGGTGCAGCTTAAAATACTCTTTGTTAAGAAAATAGTTTAGTAACAGCAGCATTCTGATTGGGCTTAACTTCTTAAAGCAGCAAAAGGAACAGATGACACAAACCTTGCTATATTTATATATATATATATATATTACTCACACAAGTGTTTTTCCCAATCAGTAATCAACAGGTGAGCCACTTACACAATAATTGCTCCTATCAGGTGTGTCGGTGCTGCCAATTCAGCCTTAGGATAGTCAGACTAATAACAGTGCTGTCAATAAAAAATTCTGAAATGAACAATATTGTAAGTCCTTATTGTTGTCACACATATTAATGCAAGAAATCATACCAAATTATTGTCTTCATCTCCTCATCCTGATACTATGAAACTAATAAGGTGTATTGCCTGCAGTATTTGGGATACATGGGATAGAGCAGGCTACAATGTCAACAGCAACATTGTGTAACTGACTCATACTATGGTGTGCTTGTCTAGACATCAAACAGGATGTGACCTGAAGTTGCTGCAACACTCACAGCTGCTGCTTCAAGCTTGATCAAATTTTATTTGATTACGTCTGCCTTGATGTTTAGCAAATGAAAAACAGGAGGATGGTCATTCATTCATTATTTCATTCAATGTCTTTTATACTTGCAATTCAGGGTCATGGGATGGTGGCCGGGCACATGCAAACAAACACGCTGAATAGGTTTACGAAACACACAGGGTAACATAAACAATTACAATCACATTTTTACCAGTAGAAAATCAAAAATTACTATTTGAAACCCATGCTGGCAGTGCTCACTTACCTTCTCACCTATCTTATACACTAAAGTATCTATAAACTTAAGTATAACAGGCATCCATTCATAAACAATGGCACATCTTGCCAATTCACTGGCCAAGGCAGATTCAGTTCACATAAAACTAAATAGTTTACTGTATGTTAAACACACAAACAAAAATGTCTAAAATTACACCTTAGTTTGATGCTTTGGTGTATATTCTCTGACACTGTGGGACACTGAGATAATGATATACCCAGAATGTAGTTCAGTTAATACATGGTTTGTTGCAAGAAGCCTGATTTAGACAGTACCTCCCAGTTGCTTTAAAAAATGTACCTACGGTAGGTTACCCACAATCCTAAGCAGTGCAATAAAGAGGGAAGGAGAATGAGTTGAAAAGACATAAGGTTTCACTGCTGCTACCTCTCAAGTGTAACTTGTGTAACACATCGCTGAGGAGGTAGAATGTGTAGATTTGCTCACAACAAAGACTGCATACTGGGATCCCTGTTGCTGCTTGACATTTTCAGTCACCTGCTCCGGCCAAATGGCAGGGACTGGACATCCATTGGCTGTTTATCTGCTAAATCTGTTCAGATACACATGGATTTAATTTAAATTAACTCAATCACTTATTCAAGAAAATGCATGACATGGATTAAGCAGACAAATTTCTCATATCACATCAAGCATCAATTAAATTTGGCTCCACACAGTTTGATACATACTGAAAGAAATTTGATTAGTCTTTGTTTTCAGACAGCTGCTCCAAAAGGTTTTTATAAAACCGTTTTATTGTTTCATAAAAAAGTGTGGTATTAAGATTCTGACAAATATAATTAGAATATATAAAATTCTCTAAAATCTTTTTTTTGGAATTGATTTAAAACAGAAGCATGTAACATTAAACACAAACCTCATAAGTTATGTAAATTACCATAAATAGATAGATACAGCAGTGTAGTATACCTACTTATTTTTCAGTCGACATTAGGTATAAATAAATCCCCTCTGGGCATTATTATTATTCAGTTGTGTTCTGTGAAATTTATTTTCCTATGGTACACCTATAGGATGGTGAAGGTATGACATAGTTGCCCATAGTAGATGGATAAATAAATCACAGTGTGCAAATACTACTTGGCCATTTTTGGGTGAATATGGATGTAATCTCACTTGTCACTTGGTGTTTATCCTTCGCTGGAGAGGCAGCAAAAAACTGGGGCATAAATTAAGGACCAGTGTGCAGGATTTAGTAGCATCTAGAGGCGAAGTTGCAGATTGCAACTAAATGAACATCTGTATTTGACGACCAGAAGTGTTTTGGAGAAACTACAGTGGAAAAACACAAAGGCCCTATCTACAGTCAATATTTGGTTTGTCCGTTCTGGGCTTCTGTTGAAACATGGCAGACTCCATGGAAGGTGACCCATGGCATCTGCAGATACAAAAGGCTCATTCTAAGGTAACGAAAACACAACAATTCCTATATTTAGGTGATTATACACAACTGAATTCCTATTACCTCTGAATATTATATTTCATTTCTGCCAATAAATCCTCCTAAAAGTTACACACTGCACCTTTAAGAGTATACCCACTTCTCCAGGCACCACTTCATCACTGGATAGATGCTTACAATAAATAGTAATAGTAAAGCGTTTTCATACTCCAATTTTAAGTCTTAGAGAGGGATAAGATTGTTAAACTGACTGCACTCTACAAAATAAAAAAACACTTTTTTATCTTATCACCTTCACCTTAGATTCTGAGGATTTACTTCCCTCTGAAACTGCGATAAGTGATTCTGATTTTAGGCTGAAAAGTGATCCAGCCGGGTGAAAACAGGGCAGAGCAGACATCTGGGAACGATATGGATGGGGTCTGTGCTAATCATCCCTCACTGCTGTTTTATGGAGCCAACTTTCTATAAATCTTTGGGATTGGAGCCTGTATTAACATGATTCTATCAGCCTCACTCCTCTTCTGATCTACTGGTTGGGGCTACCTTATAAGTAGCGATTCAGGAGCACCTTTTTATTCTATACACTACGACTTCAATGTGTTTTTTAAAGGCCGGGTGATGCATGGTGTGGCCAAGATCAGAGTGGTTTTATAATAATATAAAAAAAGATTAGTAAACAATATATTTATATTAATATTGGACAGTATAGTATTTGTGGCTATATAGTATAGCCACAAATCACCACAACAGGTAACTGCATGTTTGACTCTACCTTAAACCTACAAATCCTATAACATGGTGTCTTTATGAACCATAGACTATATATAAAGATGTTTTTTATATTCTTATATTCATCATTCTTTCTTTATATACAGTCTATATGGTATGAACTCACTTCATGCAGGAGAACATAAGCAATGCAAATTACCATATGTAGCTTGCCACTATTTATGATTCAGTGACTTTGTGATTTAGGCTGATAAGACACATTAAATTTTACATGCAGTATAAACTTTCACATGCATGCAGTTTTGATTAAAATAAACTGAGCTGGGTTTGGTGTGTAAACTATACCCAGGTCTATTTTTAGTGAAATTGTAAATGACATTACTGGCAGACAGCCTATGTTATATCAACTATAGATGGCTGATGGAGTCTACTTGTCATGTTCAGAGCCTAAATACAAGTCACACTGTTTGTTTTTGCAGCAAGGGTTGATGTTTCAGTGAAATGTTAGGCCTAGCAGCAAAATAGTAAGTCTAATATATTTTTTGCAAAGTGATCAACCTCTTGTAAGAGAGTGAGGAGCCAGCTTTGCAGCTGTTTGCACGCTTCAAGCCAAGTGAGAGGCCAGACGTGTACTTTTTTTTTTAGGAACTGGTGTTGGGTAAACTTGATTCTGGGTGGCAGTGATAACAAACATGGGACAAATTCAAAGAAAAAGAGAGTGAGAGAACATATTGCTGCTGAAAATCAGAAAGACCATAAGACAGAAGGCTGCTTTTCAAATCAGTAACGTTTCCCCCTCTCACTAGTAATAGATGTTAAAGCTGAACCTAGAGTGCATGTACTATATGATACAGTTAACATCTCCACAGCTCTTCCTTTGACCCTTCCTGCTAGCCGTCACCTCCCCACCCGCCTCCTCCTTCTAATAAATCCAAAGTGGGCCATGTGTGGAGCTGACCCCCCAGTGAAAGTGCCATGGAGCAACTCCAGATGTGAACATCCTCCCTCTCTTTCTCTCTCCTTTCTCTCTCTCCCACACTCTTTTCTCTCCCACTTCCACCACCAGTCACCCCCTCCCTCCCCCATGCAGCTACGAGTTTTCCATTTCCTTTTTTGGTGAAAAAATCTCAAACGGAGGCAGGGAGGAGGACATTTCACCAATGCCGACAGGAGAGTGTATTTGGCAGTCTGTGTATGTGTGCTTCATCAAGGCGATGAAACAGTCGACTCAGCATAAACAACAGTGTATATATATATATACACACACATTCAGGCACACACACACACACATATACACAGATGTGTGCTCACTCTCCCTTTAACTCTTGCACATGAGCAAAAAATACGTTAACTCTACAGACACACACAAACACATTTTACTCTCTTTTATTACACATGCATGGTTTCTCTCTCGAACACTTTCTCACACTTACACACTTCCATGCCCTTCCCCCTGTACTCTCTGTCTCTGTCTGTCACATACACACAAATACGAACCTACGCACACACGCTAATCTTTCCTAGAAAGACTCCAGAAGGGTTTTCTCTGGCTTAGACAGTAAACACAAGTTCACAGAAAGCTATGACCTCATAAATAAGTAATGGATATTTCACAATAACCACAAAAACACACAGAATATAAAAACTGCCCAGAAGAGATCAGTCAGTGTAAATTTATTTAATAAGCCTTCACAAATAAAACTAAACATGTAGCCATATCAATTATCATAATTTTTTTTTTTACAGTAAGTTCATACTTTTAGTGCCTCAATGGCGTATTTTAATCTTAAAATGTGTATTTGCCAACTCTGACTCACCAGCATCAAAGCTGAAATAATGAAATATAGGTTTGTTTTTTTTTAGAATTTTTCACATACATGTTACAATGCAAAACAAAACACTTATAGCATTAACAGCAACAAAAAAATCAAATCATGGCAGACAAAGACATGCATACTCCTGCAATACACAATGGTATTAGATTTCATTTCAGCTTCTTTTGGGTTATAAATGCTGGCTCTTTGAGCACTGGTGGTAAAAAAAGATGCATTACAACAAATGCAAAAAACAACAGAAATAAGAAGAAACTTTATGTAAAAATAAGTGTCATTGCAAAGTTCAACAAAAGCTGATACATGACAAAAAAGTGGTCTGTGTGCCATGTTTTTTTAAGATGTGTTATTATGTGCACATAACATGGTAGCAAGAGAATATCTTACCCAAAGTGCAAATGATTTTATTGATCATAACTACCATAAACTGACTACCTCAGTTTTTTTTTTCATCTTGCTTTTATTTTCTGACATACTGTAATTAAAATGCTTAAAACTGCAGTTATAAGAGCAATACAACAGTACCTCCACCGTACTTTGAAAAACACACTGTACGGTTTACATACTGTGTATCAGTGTTCACTGTCTTCTCTTCAGAGTCTGACCTCTACCTGAAGTGGCAATTTTTTGTATAAAATATGAAGGAATTTCTTGCAAAGTGACTAGCATTTTGCATTTCTTTGGTTCAATAGTACATAACATATAAGCAATGGTATTCTTAAGGCACTCCATTAACTTTGTTGCACAAAATCATTAACTTTTTGGTTCAAGAGGAAATCTTTGTGGTCGTTCATTCAAACAATGCAGCATCAAAACAGGATATTGCGCACTAGCTCCTGGATGAAAATCTCACCCCGACAGGGACCACGAGGAACTGATTTTTTTAATATAAAAACAACCTGAGAGGCAGCATTTGTTAGCCTTCGTTACCTTCCTCGGTAATGACTTGGGGTTCTTGAAATGCTGTGACGAAGAGTGGAAGGTAAGTCAAGGGAAGGGTGAGAATATGGTGAATGACTGCTCTATAGGTTGCTGTTGCAGTCACGGCACAAGATCCTGTCACCATCAGGGAAAAAGCCAGCGCCCACCAGTGAAACAGAGCACTGAGAGCAGGTGAAGCATGGCTGATGCCACTGGCGATCCTCAAATGAGATGTACTTTCCTCCTCCAAAACCTAGGACAAGAAGAGGGACGAGAGAGACATTAAACTGTATGTCGAGCTTTAGAGGACTTTGAATTCAGCACAACTGAAGTTGCAACTCATGTCCACTTCAAAACATAGCAAAAGCATATTGAGTTTAAAAATCTACAACTTCAAATTATTTCTCTATACCACTGATCTAATGTGATTGACTTGAACAACCAACTGTCATCAGATTCTGATTCAAATCCTGCTAACTCCTGATTAGTCAACAGAAGTATCTGATGTCACATTTTTCCAACTGAGCCCCACCCATTTCAACATAGTAAGGAGAGGACAAAGAAAAATAAAAACACAGAAATCTCAGAATCTCGAATGTGATATAACCAAAACTGTTTTGACTTTAAGACATTTCCCATAAATGTTTGCTTCCTAGAATGGAACTTGTATCATCATTGATTTGTGTGCAATAAGGCAATTTTTCGTGATTTACTTAAATCTAGTAGAGTTTGAGACCAGGTGGCACACAATGTAAAAAAATGGCTGCCAATCTTAGAGTCAACTACCTTCATAGTATAAAAAGTTTTTAAAATTTGACCCTAATACAAACAAAAGTAGCACCTGGGGTAGCTCAGATCAGTATTATTGTGTAGAACATAGGGATGTAATCTTGCCTGTGATTGGTTTGCTGCAGGCCTCGCACTTCTTGGCATACAGGCTGCCAAAGCACTTGAGGCAGTAAGGGCTGTCGTCTCGGGAGGTGAAGTGTTGACCTGCCAGCTGTGTCTTACAACTGGTGCAGACAAAACACTCCTTATGCCATGGTTCCTCTCGATAGGTCACACCACCTTTAGCCAAGGTCTGAAATTGGACAATGGATCAAAGGTCATGTGGAGATCCTTATAATTCACTTCTTAAATCTATTCCCATGCATGCTCCTGCAGACCCAGGATTAATCATGTCTCCCAATGTCTACCATGCAAGTGTGAGAGGGAATTCAACCAACAATTCTGTCAGTCATTTGATCATTTTACTGACCTTTTTACAGCGTGTGCAGCGTGGAGCGAACTTGTCCTCATAGCAGGACACACAGTAGTGTTCATCTTTGTCAGGGATGAAAGACTTCGAGCCAATTGGCTGTTCACAGCTGTGACAGATGAAGCAGCCCTCGTGCCATGTAGAGCCTGCATACTCCAACTTCCTCGTACCTAGCAGAGAGAAAGAGACACGACAGGAGGCAACGAGAGAAAAAGAGAAAGAAGGATGGAAAGAATGACAGAAAGCAGAGTAAGAGTTACATTTTCTGTGTAGAATGAATCTTTCACTGTCTTTCGGAGGATTGTTATAGCCATTTTGGTAGTTTTTGATGGTAATTTCATTGAACAATGAAAAAATACACTTGAATTGCATGAAGGCATATAAGACAAATTTTGTTTGACTAAGATTTATTTTATTTTAAATCATAATACCACAAGCCCCACACTTCTTTCCTACTGCTGGAAACTGGCGGCAGGCCTTAAAGTTAGGGATAATGTCATTTTCCCCTCCGTGTCCCCAACCAATCCATCTTCAATCCCTCGGCTGTTGAGTTTTTTATAATACTGCTTGGTTTATTCTATGGTGACGCAGTGGTTTGTGTGGGGCCGACATTTTGTACTACTGCTGTCTGCGGATTGCTAACGTTTCACTGCTGCAGGCTCTGTGCTGTGGTGTACTCTAATCAAAACTGCAAAAATCCCCTGCAAAAACATTCCAGGTTATAAGCTTACAGGAATTACAGTGGCTCCAGGAGGACAATAGTAGTATTTAGTTATGAGTATTTGACAAATAGAATAAAAGCGAACATGCTGAAATGCTAAATACAGTACATATAACTTTTGGGGGCAATTAACAAGTATTCCAACAAGTTTAAAGAGCTTTGAAAATAATTTGATTATTAAATAGGTGTAATATACAGAAAACAGCCTCTGCAACTAATAGAAGCTTTATTATCCTTACAAAGTATTTTATCTAATTCATCTACTTGATGTATTGCAAATACTGTACCTCTACTACACCCGGAAGCAAATCCTACAGTATGCTCTCTGCATAGTCAATTGTCAATATGCTTTGAACTGTCTCTTTGCCCTACAGGTCCTCTGATCCTTGCACCATATGCTACTATGTAGTCTTTCGCTGCAGTGTGCCTTTTATCAATGTATTTCCTATATACATTTATTCCTGGCAAATACATTATTTCGAGCTTCAAAATTAAGCTCAAATAAGATGTTTTGTCACAAAGAATTTTCAAACAGAATAAACTGAGTGACAAAAAAAAAGACCAATGCCTGAGAACACAACAATACAACATCTTACGTGACCATCTCTGGCAACAGGAGCATTGGTGCAGTTTTATCAGAGCAATCTTTTTATCCAAATCAGCTCATGAAAAACCATTTGCATGGTATTGGTATTACGTTTCTTCTCTCCTTTTGCCACACAACAAAACACTTAAGCCTAACATCTAGTCGTTAAACAAAGGTAAGTGTGTGTGTCTGTTTTTGAGGGTGTACATAGTTTTGTATGTTGCCAAAGGGATATGGCCCTTCTTTGCTTGGAAAACATTCAAAAGTTTGCAGTATTGTATACTACTAAATCTTTTTCTAGTTAACTTCAATCAACATTTTTTCCTCACTTGTACTTAACTTACACTAACACTGTAATGCAAATGTGCAATCTTTATATGGAGACATGACATTGTCTACAGTGGAAATAAAGGGAAATGTTGTACTCTTCCTGGAATCATTTGCTGCTTTATTAGGGCTATGTAAGCTGCTACAGGGGTGCTGAAATAACTGAATTGCTTATCTCTTCATATCATCATTCTGCTGGCAGCCAACCAGCCCTGGGGATCTGGCTTACGGACAACAAGTCAAGCAGACTGGCAATTACTCTGTCACATTCAGCCCTGGCTGCTGCTCAATCGTAGACCCTCGCCTCTGTCTCTTTCTCGTCTCCTTCTTTTTTTCCTAAAACCTCTTTCCTTTCTATATCTGCTAGAATTGTCACTTTATACTTTTCATTTGTCCCTGCTTCCTGGAATTTGTCATGTCATCATTTTCCGAAGTCATTTGCCTATGTATCTTCACATTTGCATTTGTATACTACATGGAAAATAAAATGTGGGGCAATGAGACTACTGTTTGTGGGTGGTCATACTATATGGCACCATCAAATGCATTATGTGCAAAATATTTCACAAGTCACTTCCTCTTTTATTTTCATATTTATTTTATTTCAACTCTCTCTTCCTGGATTTTAAGATAAGCATGTTCATGGTTCAACCCCCCCCCCAAAAAGGCTCAAACGTATTAATATTAATACATAAAATAGCCATTACCTGGCATGACGATCTTGTCACAGGCTACACACTTAGAGGAGAACTCATTACAGTAGCAGTCATTGCAGAGCAACGCGTCATCCTGGCTGGTGAAAGGCTCATCTGCCAACGAGCGATCACAACGGAAACAGCGGAAGCAGTGCTCATGATAATGCCGGTCCTCATAGAAGAGCTCCTGGCAGCAGAACAACAGTAGACAACAAGCAATTTGAGGTAATTTCATGAATACATCACAGAAATGAAATTACGTTAATCATTATGAGTGTCTTACAAATGTATTTTCATGTTTAACTTTCAGAACTGCAACAACTACAACTGAGGGTGTTGATAACTAATTGGCCATTTTAGCTAAGCAAACTACTAGACCTTGTAGCATGCCCCATTCTGTAAAGTCCACTAAGTAACATATGTCAGTCTTAAATGATCCACTTCATGTTAGTGTTTTCCATTAGAGGAAGATTCAATTTTAACTTGATTGTGGGGAAGAGAGAGACATTCCCTCATGCTGCATTTTTACAATCTTAGACTAAATTAGCCCGTTGGCTTATGTGGACTTTGTGGAAATTGCCTGTATAATTGCATGTTAAATTAGCCTTTACTATGTCTTGCCACACAAAATATATAGAACATGCCTCATTTAGTATGAATTATGCATCATTAGCATGACATAACTTCTGGTTTAGCTATCCAAGGCCATGTCAAAACATGGTTAAAAAATGGCTTAAAGCTAATTAGGGCAAATGTTTGATGTGCTTTATCTTTGTTTAAACTGTTAATATGTGGCTCACAGAGTGGAAACACTAAAGTCATATGTGTGGTTCATTCCAGTGCATGTATTACAGAAAACAAATGTTAACAGAAATATTTAGGTACATATTTTCTTCTTTTAATTAGATCTAAAATCTGAAATTCAATTGAAATTCTGTTACTGTTGTTCAGCAGATGATTGCATGTCTGATCGTGTCAAAATGGATGCCTCACCCTTGCATCATGGCCGATCAGCTCTTTACACTCGTCACATGTGTTTGAGAACAGGCTGTCGTAACAGGGGATGCAGTAGGGATGGTCATCTGACTGAATGTACTTGCGGCCATACAAGGACTCCTTGCAGTTGTCACAATCAAAACGGTCAGCCATTGTAATTTTCTGTAAACCTGAAACACAGAAAGCAGACACTCAGGTCAGTAATATATATATATATATACATATATATATATAAAAAAAAGTAAGTAGGCACAGGGAGTGGAGTTAGGATGCGTCACCTTTCCCACAACGTTGGACACAGTAAGACCCTGCCAATATTTATGCTGTAAATACTTTGCGTACCACAATAAGCAGAGCCAAAACAAACACGCAGCAAGTCCAAGTAAAAAAAAAGAGCGAGGAGAATACAAGAGAGGCAGAACAAAATGCCTATTAACTTTTATTGCTGTGTGAGGAGAGTGTGGTGGATGCAAAGGGAGGGGACTGTCACTTTGTTTTCTCCTAGTAACTCATTCCTGTCGCTGTCAACCGCTCAAAATCTGCAACCTAAAGATTAAAGCACCAATACACACAGAGCAACCTCACAGATGACTAAGTGGAAGTAAAATAGCATATCCTTGCATGTGAAGCTCACACATCACACACACCTGTAAATATTTATGAGGCAAGAATCTATTTGTGAGCAGAGGGTGGACCACCAACAGATACAGAAACCCCATGAAGCATTTGTGAGAGTTTGTGTGTGCACATACACTTGAAGCTGTTTGAACATGACTCCCTTACAAGTTGCTTCCTTTCAGCATAAAGACACAACTACAGTAACATGCATATACAGATACAAGGGGTATACTGTCAAAGTACATGGTTTTCATTGTGCAATAGGCCCCTTGATCATGACTGAGCACACAACAAAGTGACAGAATAATATTGTGAGAGCATTATGGCAACAATATCAGGTTGCCAAAACATTACAGCATGGCTGGAGGAAAGCCCAGTGATAAGTGATACAGCCCTCTGGCAGGGTGGACTGCTGGCTATTCATTCCCACCACCTAGTAACAATAATCACCTCTGATATAATAATCAATCAAACCTCAAACTAGCCCTGTGCTGCCTGTCTTACACCCACACATACAAAGAGTGTGCACAAACAGCATATACACAAAGCATATAGGAGACATGCTCACACTAAAACACAGAGTGACAGAAAAAGGAACAAAGACTAAAAGCCAAATCACACAGGATCCATCATCAAAGAAAACATTAGTCCCAGACTCTCATGTTTCATCTGTCTCAGCGCTTTGCCAGACAAAAGCTCTTAATGAGTTGGGGTGAGAAAGTCAAGATCCAAGAGCCCTCACCTGCTTGTAGTCCTCGTATTAAACCCACTGACAGGCTTTTTGCTAACACAACACAATTTCCCCAAACTGGAAAGACACTCTCAGGCCCCTTCGACACTCTCAGCCCCCTTAAGACATAAATTAGAACGTGTAAATGCTCGACAGCCCTGCAGCCATGTGTATACACTGGCTCACATCACTAGACCGCTATATCTCTCTATCTAATCATTGAATGGATACATCTTTAGAATCTGACATCTCACATTATAGTATCCATCTGGAGGTCATGGCAAAATATCAGAATAAGCAGCTGTGGTTGGCCTGTGTAATGTACAGCAAGGTGCTGAACTTCTGAGTTTTAACATCAATTTCTGTACATTTGACACACCATCTGCAAACTTTCCATCAGCCCACGTAACCACAATGTCAAGATTAGATCAGCAGAGTATTATGCTAAAAATGAGCACTATGACTTTAATGTTATCTGCAGTGCCAGGTAGGTATGTGCTGCCTTTGCTTGCCAGGTAAGAGAACGAGACGAGGCATGATTCACAAAGCCAAGAAGCCAGAGCTATGACGTCTGATGTCAGCTTTAATTTCCAAAGCAAATCAGGCAGCTGCTTATTGCCCTCGCTGAATTCATATGTATTATCCACATATCCACAAATTAAAAGGCTGCAGAAAGTAGGTCACAAAACTTTTTCAGATAGGTATAAATACAAATGTCATCTGACAAAATGATGAATATTCAAATGCAGATTTCTAACAAACCAACATCCGTATACTGGAGATGGATCACTCATGATGTTTCTAGTTGTGTTATTCCCCCACTTGTTCCATGCAGCCTTGTCTCCCTCTCAAGAAGAGTTTTTATGTTCTCCAGAGAGATGTGTTTTTGAGCAAGAACTACTTTGTCAGCAATCAGGATCAAGATTAAGTAATGGAGAACTCACCAGTGGGATCAGATGGGAACGTTACACTCAATTGCAAAGATTCCAAAGCCAGATATATATATATATGTATTTCTTTAGTAATCAGAAGAAGGGCTTGTTTTGACCTCCAGGTTTGTAGTGTTTCCATTTTAGAGAGATTCACTTTGAGCATCAGTGTTTGAGTGGCAAATGCAGAGCCTGAAATGAACTCCTGATGGCACAGGCTCTCACAGAGAGGGGCATGACGTCAGTGCACTGACCCCTGGGGCGATGGACTAAGACGTGACTGCATGCAGAAATTGCTGACCCAAAACCCACTTTCCCAAATTGCAGAGAAGAGAAGAGAAGAGAAGAGTTGGATCTGGGTCACATTCAACTCCAGTCCGGAGGCCAGTTCTCACAGGGCTTTGTATCTACTACTGTGTGTGTGCTGACTTCCCAGCAGAGGTCCATCTCCTTCAAGTCCAGGACCAGTGACTAAGAACCCCACTCTGGGTTAATAATGTTTCCAAATACCAGAGCTGTGACTGAATTCAGCCCCCTGGGAAAAGTGTGGGCTTCAAGGAAATCACCACTGCCTCCACACAGGACAATGGTCCAGAAATATTGTAAGTTTAATTATAGTATTGAAGCACAAAATGGGGATCTGTTTAATATAGGCAACAGTGCAATCCATTCTTTATTATGATCCAGGGGGAGTTCATCTGAGAGAGAGAGAGAGAGAGAGAGAGAGAGAGAGAGAGAGAGAGAAATATATATTAAATGCAGCTATATGGGTCAGTATGAATGACTCTGCAGAATTGTCTTAACCCTTGTGTAACCACCACAACTGAAAAATGAGACAAATAGAGAACCAACAAATTTAATTTGGACTTCCAATCATCTAACAGTAAGAGGAAGAAAGAGAGGACGTTAGCTATGGGGAAGCTGGAGGCCTGCATCTGAAGGACAGAAGTCCCAGTTAAGAAATTCAGAGGCTCAGACACTATATTTTATGATTTTAACATGAAAAGCGAGAGTTAAATTAGTTGTATGCGTAAATAAACAACATATTCTATTTGATAAGATAGTACGAGGTCTTGGTGTAAACAGAATAATACGCTTCCATGTCATCAATTACAATCATGGAGCATACAACTTGTTAGGTATTATCTCTTACTTAATATTGTGGGGGTGTGATGAACTTTGCATCATCCCAGGGCTGCAACAGACTTTTCATTTGTTTTCACACATCCCACAATAAGATAGCAGAGGAATGGCAAGGCTACATTCTACTAGTCATCACAACCCTCTCTGATTGGCATAAGGGGGTGAAGTTCAGGGCCACCACAGAGCAACAAACCAATGCAAGCAAGCAGACTGTATGCTGTTGCCAGGCAACATAGTCATGGTTGGTTACTGAAGGGCTAGCAAACACCCCAGCCAGTCCAGTCCCACAGGCAGGCTTGTTAATCCCCAGCCCAAACTTTGCTTACGCTCTGGTTGATTCCAAATGAACAGTCCGCACAGCCTGCTGGGAACGAGCCTGCCAGTTCTTCCCCCATTCCCTGCTGTGCATCTTTGTATAATATCTGTTTTACTAAGGCTAGGCAGAGCACTTGACACTATGTTTCATCAACAATGGAGGGAGACTGCAGGCAGAAGCCGATGTACTGCAAAAGCTAAATGACAACATAACTACTGTACGAAATGTCTCTTACTGCCATTAAGTTCTACTTTACACTAGAGGAGAACATAATACACTACTGGCTAATTAGAGAGAATGTATGGTGAAATATAGTTTGAAAATGAAATCAACTGTCATTGTAAAAGTCATGAAAAACAGACTTAGGCTTCGGAAGTTGTATTATCTCTAAATGTCTACTTAAAGGTCTGAAGACAGCTATTGTGGATCAGTGTGAGTTTGTTTGTGTGAGTCAGTGTGGTTAAAGCTGACTAACAATGAAAACATGGCCTTGGGATAAGAGCTTATCTCAGTGAAATCAGACCAATTATATACATTAGTACATATATTAGCTGGTGTTCAGTGCTTTGCAGTATACATACACAGGCGAGACAGAAAATGCTTAATAATTGTAATATGCAGAAGTGTCAACATTTGTGGTGCATTCAAAAACACATGTACACATATTGCTGACTAACAGAATACTAATATTACTCCTATGATAACAGATTACTTCTATTTTTAGTTTCCAAACTTAAAATCTACTTAAATCAATAAGCAAAAAAACATTGTTGTTCTATATGTATATAGTACTACTGTATGAAAATTTAATCTCTATCTCAATTTTATTTCTACTGGATATACATATAATACATAAAAACATGAAATCTAACTTTAGTTTAACATGTCAGTACAAACTATTCCCGGGGGGGACGTTTTCAGTGTTTTGGGCACATTGTCAGTTGTGTTATACATGTTTTGCTACAATAAAATTAAGCCCTATTTTAATTTGAATGTTAAGGATTTTTCATGAGTCAGTAATGTTCATGTCAGTGGAGCAGCTGTTGTTTTTATTGTGCCAATAAGGGACAACTCTTTACAACAACAACAAAAAAAACACACACATTTTGTGGCTATGATATTGCAAGCCAATGTTGGAAAGCCATATCTCCAACATAAAAAAGTCACTGTATGGAAGTGCTGTATCCACCCTGATAAGACAACACGACCCTTGGTGGAAATAGCATCACCGTCTGCCAATGATGCCTTGGCAGAAAATTTAAAAGGGTTTAGTTTATTGCCAAGTGGGAAATGGTACAAAAGTTGTGGCTATGCAGTAGTATGAGGTCTGCAAGGAATACAGTTAAGAAAAAACTATCCAATACCAGGGCAACTGCTCTATTTGTTACGCTGGCTGTGTTTATAGGTCCATTCTGAATATTTTGCTTTTATGTC